CGTCCGTATGTGTATATTTAGTAATGATCATCAGTAAAATGTTATGCGGAAGTTTGATTCGATTAACCTGATGTAAAGTGGGAATAAAAATTAGTAAAAGGCGACCAAGTCTTTCAATTGGTCCTCCTGCATGGTAAATGCATTGATCTACGTCGATTGTGGGCTTTTCAGATTTACCGGTTAAAATGTGAAATATATTCATAAAATTACAAGTTAAGGCTATTAGATAAATTAACAAGTTTAAAGCGAAAAATAAAGAATATCGGACAACTTTATTTTGGTGAGATTTCGTTCAAATTGTGTCTGATATCTTAAATTATTCAAGAAAATTGTGTCCAATTTGTAGTTCTCGTTATTAATTTCTTATTCATTTTTGGTATTTTAAGATATTTTGCTAAAAATCATACGTGAAATGGTCACATCAATCTAATTGTATTCCACTGGTGTCCAACGGAAACTAATGGGATATTGGTCATTCAAACACTCCTGCCTGACATTGCCTCGCATTTATGTATTACATAGAATTGTCGTTCTGAATGGCAGCTTCTGCTTCTAAGAATACAAGCCACGCCCCATATGTGGGCAGCTCCCATAGTCTGGCAAGAACATTGCGACGGTGAATGTCCGGTTCTGAGGAATTTCATTGTATTCTAAAAAATGTATTCTTGAAATTGACGGAATATCCATTCTTCTCTCTACTTTCTAATATTGTTAATTCATAAATCTTGAGCGAGCTTTCCAGTTGCATTTTGTGTCATCTAGCGTCTAATTAGAAAACTTTTAATGGAAACGAAATTTACGTGATGTGAGAAGCTTACGGCAGAGAACGTATATCCACAGCAGAGAACGTCTATCAGAAAACGCTCTTTGATATACGTTCTCTGCTCAATGTATTTATTTCACAACAGATGTCGCCCTTTTAACGTAAGATGTCGCGCGGAAATCGATGGTTGTCTGAACTTCATTGGTGTGTGACGACGGTGTGAATTTAAAGACGCACAATCACCCTGTGTTGAGTGAGTAAGTTTCTAAAAATAATTTTGACTATACTCTCTCAAAGAATGTAAAACATTCATCAATAAATAGTTGAGGATTTTAATCGATAATGCGCATTTGACTACCCACGGCTATTTAAAGGCATTCACAAAACGTTACGGTGCGGATTTATGAGGGTTCGATTGCTAGGAAATTGTGTTTTATAAAAATGCCACTCCAAACATCAATTTTCATCAAAGACGGAGCAATAAGCTTATATCTATTAAACGTTGTTCATGTCCGGAAATTGAGTGCTATACTTGATACAAGATATTTCCCAGACCAACATTGAAAAAAGACAAATATTTGGCAAGATGTATACTATAGAGTCAAAACAGGGCAGCTAAATCTTGCAATTATTAGAAGCATACTAGATTTGGTGTCAAAGTCTGCCAAAAATATAACCTTTCCACAAAAGATGCAAATTACCTACATACAAGGTGCTTTCCAAAGTAAAAACTTAAAAAAAAAAAAACTGAACAAATTTTTTTTTTGGCAAAATCAAATTATTTTATTCAAAATAGTCTCCTTCTGCTTCAATACAGCCTTTTGAACAGTTTAAAAAGAATGTCGAACGTTTGCCGGTATGGCAGCCAGTGTGCCGGTGCAAGCCTTTTGAATGGCCTCTTCGTCTGCATAACGCTTTCCTTTCATGGGCAAATGCATTTTTCCGAAAAGAAAGAAGTCTCACGGTTCTATATCAGGTGAATAATGGGAGTGGTTAATGATTAAAATGTGACTTTGGTCAAATAATCGGTCACATGCGTCGAATCGAATGTTGGATTCTGAGCAATTTTTGGTCGTCAGTCAATTTGTGTGCCACAAATCGTGCGGTGTAGGCCCAAATGTTCTGTCAAAATGCGATAAATCGATATTTTGGAGATGTTCAATTCCATTTCCATGAAATTCAATGACGATTTCGGCTGTCAATTGTTTCGGTAAAAGTTTTACCAATTTCAAAACAAAAATTTAATGTTGTCCAATAGATGAATTGTCATGAAAATCTCACGGGACAATCGATAAAGTTAGCAGATTCTAACGCACCAGTCGAAATATGGATGGCGCTACCAGGGGGCGCTAGAAGGTCCTGCTTACTATCTTGTACTGATAAAATTAAAAAAAAAAAAAAACATATTTGATTACTTTTAGAGGCATTGCCTTAGTCAAACTGAAATGCTCTATGAGAAGGAGAAGGTAATTTTTTCAACTTTGAAATAAAAGTCGAGTTTTATGTTTTTTCTGTTGTTTGCATACATTTCTTTCTCATTTTTATTAACTTTAATATCGCTGCATTTCTGGCTTAGGACTAGAACTTGGTTTAACGACATTCACTTCGATATGATTTTTCGTGTGTTTGCTTATATGTCACTCTCTGTGTGTGTGTGTGTGTGTGTTTGTGTATGTATGTAAACGGTGTTGTTGTGTATTTAATTTACAATTTACCGTTAATGCAGTGGATTTCGCATACGTCAACATGCTGTTATCGTGTTTCTTTTGAATGTGAAATTCTAAGTGATTTACTCTTCATTAATTTCTCTCTTGCTCGCCTCCAAAATACAATTTCTTCGTTTGCAGATTTTTTTTATTGTGACTATTAAATGTAAAATTGCTGCCTTCACTTTACGCTTACAGTATTTAGTTTAGCTATAATTATACCTCTTATATAATTTTCTTATTTTTTCTGTTTTGTTTTTGTTTTTGTTTGCTTCACTTCAATTATTGTTTTTATTGCTAATGTTTGCTCTGCTTTCATAATTACTAATATACTCCTTCGCTGCGCTCATTTAGTTACAAAAACGAAAATGCCATAATTAAATGCAAATGTTTACTAACTAAGCATTGCCCTCGCGCAAAGTCACATTTTAATCGACTTTAGAATCGTTAATTGTATTTATTAAATTTCAGTAGTATTATTATGTAATAACAGACACTGCACAGTTTTTGTTTCCATTTTCATTTTCAGTTGTTTTTGTGTGTTGTTTTTGCTCTCATAATTACAATTACCAAATTACTTACATACATATATTATATAATATATTTACGAGTAAATTTCATTTTATTTTATATATGTTTATACTAAATGCGTAGTTCTACGTGTTGCTATTATCGTTATAATTAATATTAATGCTACAAAACTTATTTTTAAAAATTCACGTATAAAAAATTTCCTTTACATACGTACATATGTATATGTATCTCAACTCGCACGAGTTTTATTGGTTTTGTTCAGATATTCTCTTGTTTTACCCATGTTTAATGCTATTTTTTAATCGTTACACCAATCTGCATTTACTTCTATTTGCTTTCTCATGAGTATGTGTGTGTGTGTTGCCTGCATTTGGAAATGTAAATATTTTTTGTCGGGCTTTAAATAATTGTATTTCTTTTCAATTTTTGATAATGTAATTTCCGATATGTTGTGTTGCAGTTGCAGCTCCTTGCATGGAAGTTGTTGTAGTGGCGTATATCTGTGTGTGTGTGCATGTATATAAAATAGTCTCTGTTGTGTTTGGTTGATTTTTCGCCTGGCGCAATAAATGTTGCCGTGTAGTAATTGATATATTTTATATTTGGCAAAAATATATAGCAAATAGCAAACAAATTCTGTGGTCATGAATTGTTGCAACAACAATTTTTCTGATTGCTGTTCGTGTTTGTTGCAATTTGCTGACCAAATTTAAGCAAAATTTTCTTTCATAAATAAACGGCTGTATTTGTATTTATTTCCTTATATTTTTTCTGCTTGGCAAATCGTGTTGTATTTACATTGACAAAGCGATGTAAGTTTCATGCAACAGCGAGAAATTACATAATTTTTTTTATTTAAATATACATAGATGAAGAGAGATAGTTCTGTATTGATTAGAAATTCACTAAATTGTGTAATGTTTTAGAATAAATAAATGTCAAATATAGATTTTTATCTTTTTACTGTTTTTGAAGGTGTTAAGCTATTAATTAAAGCTTTCGACAAATAAAATTCATTTGGAAAGAGAGGAGTTCGGTTTTGTGTTTTAATTTGAATTTTAGAATGAAAAAAAAGTTTTTTCTTAACAAAAAATTAAAAAAAAAATATTCGGTATACAAAATTTGTTTGAATAAAAAGATTTTGAATGAAA